GACTTAAATTGAATATCATCACAATGAATATACATGAATCGTAACATAAACATCACCATGCATCAATACATTACAACTGATATTGTTTACATCTCGTACATTGTTTTAAATATTACACATTCATAACATAAATTGTTTGAGAGTTTTCAAAAAAACATAACATCCTAACATTACTTGATATTACCCTTCCGGTTACCTGTTACATGAGAATACAAGTTATTTTGGAAAACGTCAACATATGAAATGTTTGTGAGTTCATAAGCAATGTTGTGATAAAAATGATTTGTGTAGTTTGTAAAACCCAGAAAATCCGATATTTTCTGAAAAGGCAATAGTTTGTCAAAGTGTGAAGATCCATAAGTTGATGCATGAATGATTTTAAAACGTGTATATAAAAGGGAGTTTTGTATTATAGTTATAGTGATTACAAGCGAGTGGTGTCGAATTCCCCCGAAAAACCCGATGTTTTCCGATAACGAAAGATATACTTGTTTACTAATTGTTATACATCCACAACGAATGATTTTTGATTACTCTTCCTTGATTACTCGGGTGGTGTCGGATATTATCAATTCTAGTGAGTCGTTACAACGATGTCTGGTAATGACTGGTTATAACTGCCAACTACGAACGACCCATAGAGGTGCCGTCCGTTGTTACTCACTTAATCCAAACCACCTTGATTACTATTGACTAACGACCTGAGTCTGTTTAGTCTGATTACTCATAAGCCTTAGCAAACGAAGAGAAGAGGAGTACGAAGTCCTGCTACTATCGTGAGTTACCTTAGGCTGTCGGGGATGCAAAGGACACGTTGGACCATCTCGCATTTGATTACTTTGACCTTACTAGCAATACTAATGGACCACTAGGGCCCAATAGCGCATAAAAGCCATTGAAGGTCCCTTTATATGGAATTGGGTCATAGAAGGCCCAATAACGTATAATCATTATCCCTTGGGCCCCAAAGATCATGTTAATGGATTTGCAAGGTCCAACAAGCATGATTTGAAACTTTCAAGCCCAAGTGTCGAATGTTTACTTGTCTTAGGTATCGCATAACTACTGGAGGGTTCGATTGAACGATTGTTGTTTTTGTATCGACTCGAGACCGGGGGATTTGTTTACAACGATATTTGGATTTAAGCGTGTATTCATCTTACAATTTTTCGTTAGTCGTAGTTTAGTATATTGACTCAATACTCTATAAATAAATTAATTTACTTAGAAATAGTGGTTTGACCTTTTCAACCCCATTCTTTTTATAAAAATAACAATTTTAGTCCTTTATATAAAAGAAAAGACATATTAAGCCCTTAAAACATTTTCTTGACACTTTTGCATCATAGACTTGTTTAAATGATATTTTTGACTCAAGACTTATACTTTGGCAGTTTCAGCCCTTCCAGAATAGTATTTTTCGGTTAAAGCCCAACCTTTTTGCAATTTTTACAATTTTAGCCCAAAATCTCAAAACCTTACATTTTTTATCCTTATTGGAAATGAAAAGCATTTTTAACCCTTGAAATAGTTTTGTTACACTTTTTATCCCCTGTTTTGAAGAGTTTACCATTTCAGTCCCTTTAAACGTCATATTTTCGCAATTTTGGGCTTATTGGGCCGAAAAGCCCAAAATTTAGCCCATTAAGCTAATATTTACATTTTAAGTCCTTTGAAGATCATAATGTTCATAAAAACAATTATTGTAACTGTTTTGACTCTTTTGACCTTTAAGAAACCGTGATTTGGCAACTTTTAACCCATCTTTTGTATATTTGACAATTTAAGCCCAAAAATGAGTTTTATGTTGCAATATTTTTATAATAATCTTAGAGATTAATATTTTTGACTTGTTTAGTGTAATATAACTTGGATCATGTTTGTTTTCCTTCTTATAGCATAGATCTCAAAGTTTTCTTCCCTTTTTGGTTACATATTTTCCACAAAAACACATAAAATCACACATACATGCATAAAATCATACATATCATACACATACACATAGATCTACACATTTTACTTGTATTCTCCCCCATAAAACTTATGAAAACCAAAAAGAGAGGGGTATGAAGCTCACCTTTGGTTGTTGTTTTCGGTTTAGAAGGCAGAAATGAAGAAGATTCGATCCTAGCAAGCCTTCTTGGAGGATCTCGAACTTAGAGGCTTCTTAGATGATGATTTTTGTGGAATACTCTCCTTGAAAAGCTCCTAAATCTCGAAAATTTGATGAAGAATGAAGAGAGTTCTTATGTGTTTGAGAGAGATTTTTGAGAGTGTGTGTGTGTTTGAGTTGGTTTCGGCCGAGAGAAAAAGAGAGAGGAGAAAGAGAAGTGAGTGAAGTGATGTGTGCATGGGAACATGAGATGAGTGCATGGAAGTCCAAAAGGTAATAAAGAGGTGGCAAATGGAAGTCAACTCTTCCTCCATTTGAGTAGTTGGGCCGAGAGAAGAGGAAGGAAGAAAAGAGATTGGGCCTTTTTATGCTTAAGCCCATATTATGATCTAATTAGATGATTTTTGGCCCAAAATAAATCAAGGAATGATTTTTATGATCTACTAGGGCTATATAAATTTGTTGTGGTCCAGTAAGGCCCATTAAAGTTAATCTAGTTCATTTTAGGCTTATAAGGCCCAAAATATTAAGTTTCATGTATATGGGTCCAATTAGAGTCCATTTAGGAGTTCTAAGCCCAAGATAGTTAAGTTGGAAGCTTATTGGTCCATCAGGCCCAATAAGAAGATCCTTATCCAAAATGGACTTAAACCGGGATTTCTAGGGCTTCCAATTATTTGTTGACTAACTGCAGTGCTTATATAAAGGTGTTCGATGGAAGTTTTGTTGTTATTGAATAAGCATCATACATGCTTTCACATTGTTGGTTCACAATTGGTATAATTGTTGTAGTTACAAAGCATCAAAATTCCTAGTTGTGACAGATTATCCATTAGTTATATGTTAAACAGCCTGTTTATGAAAGGTTGAGTTATTCCAGGAAAATCCTATATTTTCCTTAAAAGTTGATAGTTGGTTATCGATTCTGAAATGAGGTGTACAAGTATCTACCATACTTGTATCGTTAGATGTAGTTTCCTTGAAAAACCCTGTTTACTCTCTTTGAGATGTACTAGCCTTATTACATAAATAAAACTAATAAAGAAGTAGTGAACTAGATCCTAAGAGCATTACTAATGCCCTCTAGTAATCAAATCGGTTATTACTTTGAGGTTAGTTCACTTGTTTCATTATTACAAAAGTAAATCTCTGTTATCTAGGTTGCGAGTTTTATAACCATACATTAAACTAGATATGGCACGTAACGGGGCCAGTATCCTTTTATGACTGTCACCCGTAGACCTGACGATCCCACTGTAGCTAGCAGCGAGGTGCGGGGTAGTCAGCCCCTATAGATCTATACACAATAGTCACGCTCTCCCTACGATAGATTCTGGTTATAAGGGTTAGTCCTAGACTCACGAAATCCGGTGGAGTGTTACCAAGGACGTGTCTCCAATCCTAAAATAACAAACTTACAAGTAATAGTACCGAAAATCATGTTTATGTTTTGTATAAATCCTTTATAAAATATCACATTTTATGATAAGATTTACAAGTTCCTTGCTTTAGTTTTGAAAACTGTTTCTACGAGTTGATTTCTTAATCGATTGGTAAAACGGTTTTCTGAGTTAAAATCATGATGAACATATAATCATTCTATGCAAAATGAGATAACTTGAGCACAAGTTTCCTTGTACTTTTACTTGTATTCCCCCCCCCCCTGAAAACATGAAAAAAATTCGGAAAAAGCATAGGGGGTATGAACTCACCTGAAGTGAGTGATTGGGATAAACGGATGGTATAGGATGCTAAGTGTCAAGTGAAGACTTGAACACACACACGGATCCTATCAACATATAAAGACACATATATGAATACAAACAACTAATTAACCAAGTTAAGACACCCTAGGATATGGAAAACACTTTGATTCAAGTGCTAGAAGTACCAAGGGTTGCATCTAAGGGTTGTAAAGCCACTTAAAGGAAGTTTTCGGTCCAAGTGGTTTTCGGTTCATGAAGGGTTTTCGGTTCATGAAGGGTTTTCGGTCCATGAAGGTGACCGAAAACTCATGATGTTTGGTGCATGTGGTGATTTTCAAGGGCTTTCAAACATGCATAGGGGTTCTATGTTTTATCCAAAGTCTTAAGTGAGTTTGAAGGTCTTAAAGGCACCTTTCTTTAGGGTTTTCGGTCAAAGGAGATGCACTATACTGAAAACTCCTTTTGTTCTTGGAAAATGACGATTTCAAGGCCCTAAATCAAGTATCCTTACTAGATAACAAGTATAGGAGATAGATACTTACAATATGGAAGCAAAGAAGGGTGTTTTCGGCCCAAAACACTAGTGTGTGTTCTTGGTGTTCTTGGTGTTCTTGAAGATTAAACCCAAAAGATGAAGTTAGTGGATGAAATCGAAGGGTGTTACTAGTTAGGAAGATCTAATAACAAAACAAGGGGAAAGAAACACTTACATTTTCGAGAATTTGAAGATCAAAGTGAAGAACTTGATGATACTTGAGAGAGTTTTCGAGTTCTAGACTTGTAAAAAGGGAAAGAATGATCTAAATGATCATGAAATATATATATAAGATGGGGTTTTCGGTCACCTTGACCGAAAACTCTAAGGTCTTGACCGAAATCTCCTTTTTGAGGAGGTTTTCGTTTTGCTTCATGTCTAGAATTTCAACAAATTCATCCTAACACCGATTCCTTTGATGTACTAAGTTTAGAATATTCTGTTAGTCCAAAAATAATACTGACGTAAACAGAAATAAATCCGAATTGATTTATTTAAACGCAAAGTCTTTCCCAAACTATCAAATTTGACGGAATTAAATAAAAACCCGAATTTGATTAACGGAAATTGAGTAAGGATAACGCAAAACGTTCCGGGTTGTCACATTAATCATGCTTCTATCATTCCTACCACTTATCTTATCAACATGGATGAGTTGATAACTTCTTCTGAAGGAGGAACGCCTGATTCGATAATCGAAGGTGCCATAGTGACTGGAGTCACGCTAGCAGTTCTTCTGTTCCAAAATTTGGTAAATTATCTATCCTCATATTTCCACGTAACTATTTTTTTTATATTTCTTATTTCTTACCCGTTATGTTGTTTGTCAAATTTTCAGATTTTTATCTACCAAAAAAGCAACCCCCCCTGTTCTTCCCTGATATCTTTAGCTTTCTCCATCCCATCCTTTTTGAATCGATTCACCACCAACTCCTTTGTCAATAATCCATCTCTTGGCAAGATGACTAATAAGGAAGGGATAGACAAGGCTCAGACTCACATCCTTGAGGGACTTCATTGGATGAACGAAGTCTCTTTGCACAACAAAGCTCGTGTGGTGGCTACGGCTGCCAGAGAAATGAAGTTTGACAAGCTATCTGATTGCATGGACAAGCTTCGATCTAGTTATCAATTTCTAGAGCGAGAGAAGAAAAAACTGATATAGGAGAACATTTACTTAACCTCTTCCAACAAATAGATATCACTAGACTTGGTTGAGTCGACGCACATTCAGGAGGAGCTTCGTCTTCTAAACCAAGACCTGTAGCTGAAACTTGATGAAACAAGAGCTCATAATGGTTGGCCAAGGCTCTAGAAGAGGTGAATTGTTGGGTCTAAATTATGGTTTATAATTTTCTTTTCTAGGCAATTGTATTTTTTAGTCTAGGACCGTAAACATCCTTGGTGTTTGCGGTTAGATGTGTTTACGGGTGTGTTCACAGCCAGGTTGTGTTTACGGTTCACGGCCGTGAACCCATTTACGGCCCATGTTCCCCATATATATATATATATATATATATATATATATATATATATATATATATATATAATATATATATATATATATATATATATATATATATATATATATATATATATATATATGTATATATATATAATATATATATATATATATATGTGTATATATATATATATATATATATATATATATATATATATATATATATATTTATATATATATATGTGTGTGTGTGTGTTAGGGGTGAGGAGTGGTAAGACGAGAGTACGGCTGAGAGTAGAGAGGAGCTTAAATGAGTGAAACTCAAGGTGTGTTCTAGAGAGAGAAAGTGAATCTTATGTAAGGAACTTCATTCATATCATTAATACATTCAAGATTCATATTCTTCTTCTTCTTCTCTTCTATTTTGATCTGGCATCATCCGTTTGATCGGGATTCCGCACCATCAAACGAATCTGATTGATACACAAGCAGATTTGGGACTTACAAGTCGTATCAGAGCAAGGTTGTATCAATCATCTTTGTCAGATCTGGAGCATATTTGATCTTATTTTTGAAGGATTTCTACGTTTTTGGATAGATCTTCGCAAAATAAAGGGGTTTGTTCTTTGTGTTTTTGATAAAAAACGAGTTTTTGATCGAGTTTTGGAGCAAAAAGGGTGAAAAACGTTGTTTTTTTCGCGATCTGAAGCAGTGTTTACGGCCCTTGAAGGGTTCTCGGCCTTTGAAGGGTTCACGGCCCTCGGAGTTTACGGCTCAGCAGTTTGCGGCCAGCCTTGCTTCGGGCGTTTACGGCCTGCTCGTTTGTGATCCTCGGGTTCACGGCTCTGCCTCGTTTACGGTAGATCCTCTTGCTCGCGTCGCAATCTCGGCTAGCAGGAGTCTTCGCATCGTGCTTCTATTAAAAAAAGGAGGGAACGGATTTTTGGGGCTGCCAAGATTCGAACCCGGGTGCCTCGCCTCAAGAACCAACACGCCTTCCAGTTGATCTAGCTTAACACACGCTCCAATCCTTCCAAACTTAATTCAAAAGGACTCATTTTCGAACCCAATTTCGCAATTTTGACACTTTCAGCCCAAAAATCAATTTCTTTTATTTTTAAATTTCATTATCAACCAAAAAAAAATTTGTTTTTACTTTTTGACTTTATTTTTGCCTTTTGACTTAAAATTTTGACTTTGACTTTAAAGTTTGACCTTTGACTTTAAACTTTGACTTTCTCGTTTGACTTTCAAATTTTCAAATTTAGCTTTTCGGTTTGACTTTTAAGTTTGATTTCTAAGTTTGACTTTTTAGGTTTTCTTTGGAGGTTTATAGTCAAAGGGCATTTTTAAAACTATGAGTTATTCAAAAATCAATGTCAATGAATGTCACACCCCAAAAACCGGAACGACGGAAACGTTCTGGGGTGGAGGACGTCATGTACAGTATCATAACAATGCATAATAGTAAAGACAAGCAACAACATCCATTGCATTAATATAATAGTTAAGTACAAGTGTGTTCTTTTGTAAGTTTAAATGACACCAAAAAATGTACAATCAAAATGAAGACGAGTCTTGGATCCACTTTGTCCTTCAAAAGCTGCATGGGTATACCTGTCTTACTGGTTCCCTGAGAATACAAGTTATTTTGAAAGAGAGTATTAGCATAAAATGCTGGTGAGTTCATAAGTATTTAGTGTCATTTCTTGTAAAAAAAATGTTTGTAACAACGTAATGTAAGTGTTAGTGAAATGTTTGTAAAAGTTGCAATTGTTTGTACTTCTTAGAAAATCCTATATTTTCTACTGAAATGTAGTCTTCTACCAAGACCCGACTTTTGTACGTTCGTTCATTTGTAAAAGTATGAGTTTTCCCAAGTATGACTATCATTATCAAAATATAGTTTTCATTAACATCTATGTGAGAAGATCACAAAGTAAATGTGTTAAGGAAATAACATTTTACCTCAGCAGTGACACTGCTGACTATAAGTGATAAATAACAGATTCTGGGTAGTATAAAATGTACAATACACCTCGGGGAGTCTTTTTGCCTTTAATCATTTGTCGGTTAATTAAAGGTTTGAATGTGAACTCGTATGTAACCATGCTGATCGACGACTGAACAATTGAAGGCAAAAAGACTCCCCGAGGTGTATTGTACATTTTATACTACTCGGAGTCTGTAATTTATCACTTATAGTCAGCAGTGTCACTGCTGAGGTAAAATGTTATTTCCCTAACACATTTACTTTGTGATCTTCTCACATAGATGTTAATGAAAGCTATATTTTGATAATGATAGTCATACTTGGGAAAACTCATACTTTTACAAATGAACAAACGTACAAAAGTCGGGTCTTGGTAGAAGACTACATTTCAGTAGAAAATATAAGATTTTCTAAGAAGTACAAACAATTGCCACTTTTACAAACATTTCACTAACACTTACATTACGTTGTTACAAACATTTTTATACAAGCAATGACACTAAATACTTATCCGGGTAAAGCCAACGTAGTAGCAGACGCCCTAAGTCGGAAAGAATATTATGGTCGAAGAGTCAAGTCATTAACCATGACTATCCATTCGCATCTGTCCACACAAATTAAGGAGGCGCAACTCGAAGCCTTGAGACCTGAAAATGTGGCGGGTGAATCTCTGCGAAGAATGGATAAGAACTTGGAAGTCAACGGTGGCGGAGCTTTATATCTCATGGACAGGATCTGGACACCGAAACACGGTGGCTTCAGATATTTGGTCATGAAAGAAGCGCACAACACTCGTTATTCCGTCCACCCAGGTTCAGATAAGATGTATCTGGATCTTAAAAAGTTATACTGGTGGCCTAACATGAAAGCAGAGATTGCTACCTTCGTAAGTAAATGCGTTACTTGCGCCAAGGTCAAGGTCGAATACCAGAAACCATCGGGTTTACTTCAGCAACCAGAGATACATGAATGGAAGTGGGAGCGGATCACTATGGACTTCATAACCAAATTGCCCAAGACAACGGGTGGACTTGATACCATTTGGGTCATCGTCGACAGATTGACCAAGTCCGCACACTTCCTGCCCATCAAGGAAACTGACAAGATGGAGAAGCTCACAAGAATATACATTAGGGAGATCGTACGACTGCATGGTGTTCCCATATCTATTATCTCCGATAGGGATAGTAGATTCACTTCGAGGTTCTGGCAGTCACTACAAAGCTCCTTAGGAACGAGGTTGGACATGAGTACAGCCTACCATCCACTGACCGACGGACAAAGTGAGAGAACTATCCAAACCTTGGAAGATATGTTGCGAGCCTGTGTGATCGACTTTGGGAAGACATGGGATACCCACTTACCCCTTGTTGAATTCTCCTACAACAACAGTTATCACACGAGCATAAAGGCTGCTCCATTTGAAGCCCTCTATGGCCGGAAGTGCAGATCCCCTCTCTACTGGGATGAGGTGGGTGACACTCAGTTAGCTAAAGGACGAGTTCTTGACAGCACTCTCACGGGTCCGGAGATCATTCGGGAAACGACAGAGAAGATCGTTCAGATTCATGAACGATTGAAAGCCTCTAGAGACCGACAGAAAATCTATGTAGACAAACAAAGGAAACCTTTGGAATTCCAGGTGGGAGACCGAGTTCTTTTGAAAGTCTCACCCTGGATGGGCTTGATACGCTTCGGAAAGCGTGGAAAGCTAAATCCAAGATACATAGGGCCTTTCGAGATTCTCGCTAGAATCGGCCCTGTAGCTTACAAACTCAACCTACCCCACAAGCTTAGTAACGTACATCCGACCTTTCACGTCTCGAACTTGAAAAAGTGCCTATCCGACGAGACTCTTGTAATCCCACTCGACGAGATCGAGATCAACGAGAGCCTCAACTTCATGGAAGAACCAGTGGAGATCATGTACCGAGAGGTCAAGCGAACGAAACAAAGCTGTATTCCAATAGTGAAGGTTCGCTGGAACGCCAAGCGAGGACCGGAATTCACTTGGGAGTGCGAGGATCAAATGAAACTTAAATATCCCCATCTTTTTACTTAGTTATTTGTAATAACTTAGTTGCTTGGACTCTAATTTCGGGACGAAATTCCCTCTAACGGGGGAATGATGTGACAACCCGAAATTTCAATCTTGTACAAACCTTTCAATCCAATCAAAGTTAGACTTGTTCTTGCTAACTTTTAACATTATTTTGAGTCTAATTGAGCATCCCGAGCCTAGTACATCAAAGGAATAAGTGAATGGAAGTGTCAATTGAAGTTGTAACCCATCAACCATGCCATAAACCCTCAAAAAGGGAAGTTTACGGCCAAGGGTCACGGGTTTACGGCCATAAACACATGGAGGCCGTAAACTCCATGCTATATATACGACCCCTAGTCATTTTTCAGCCACTTTTCACTTTTCCAAGCCTAGAACTCGAATTCTCTCCCAAGGATCTTGAGGTTTTTGCTCCAAATCTTCAAAAATGTAAGTGAATCCTTCCTAATATGAGTTAATACATCTCTTTTTCTTGATTTACTCTTGATTTCATCCATGAAATCTCTTCTTTTGGGTAGATCTTCAAGTGTTCTTCATTCACCAAGAACACCAAGAACACACACTAGTGTTTTTGGGCTCTAACCACCCTTTCAAGCTTCTACTACGTAAGTACACTACCCTTAGCTTGTTATATACTCAAATCACTTA